ATTTCCACCACTCTTCAAGGCTAAACTACTTTCAAACCCCTAATCTTTTTTACTTTTGATACCACCAGGACGAGAGGCGCCGGGGAGGATTTTTCACACATTTTAGGTAGACCAGACTGGACTAAATTGGGCCAGTCCCTTCTTCTTCTTCTTCTCCCTATGTGTTTGTTTGTGTGTATCCATGCTCTAATTGGCCGGTCTCTGCATATGCACGGGCTACACAAGGCCAATGAAGCTGGTGCAGACAGTTTAATGCCTCCGCTGAGAGAAGAGGTTCAAGGACACGCTGTTCTATCTGCGCCTCACTCCCCCCTCACCTGTTTCACTTAGTTGCTCTTCCTGTGGGATATTTAGCAGTCCATTCACTCTTTTCCATTAGGAAGACTGCAGCCTGGCCTCCACACACACTGTAATTAGTGTCTAAACCATAGACTAAGAGCAATTAAAGTAAGCAGAAAATCCTCGGAGCTCAGCCAATTCAAAGAGAAGGGTATCATTATACATTTTCATTTTGACACACTCTGGGTTAATCTGGCACAGGGCAGTCATACAAATTCAGTTTTGTAATATAAACATGGCTAGAATCTGTTTGCCATTTCAACTGAATATTTCTGAATGAATTACTCCAAGATATTTGTCGTCATCTCCACTTGCACAATTCATTACCATAAGATCATCTACTAAACAGGTCACTAGGGGGGCAGTTAGAGGGGAGTGCATAATTCCACTCACAGGGAGCACATTTGGACAATCAACCTTTTATATCAAAGCCTCACATCAGTGGAACTCAACCCCCATTCACATTAGAGAAGCAACAACCTAAAATAAGTTTTAAAAAGATAAAGAAATGGCTCAGTGAAAACCAGCACTGCTCACACTGACACTTGGTCTTTGTTTAATGATGTCTTGTCTCCAGTTCATGCTCTGTCTTGTTCAGTATATCTGAGCTGTTTGTTGTGAATGCTTGTGAACTTGTTTGTCTGTTGCATGTGCTTTAATGTCTGTGTATTATGTAAATAGATTTGTACGTAACCTGTCTTTTTTAGGGTGCCAATCTGACATTTGTCCTAGCCTGATTCATTAGCCGGTTTCACTTCATGGAAACCGTCTGACCTCGCAGCATTATAATTTGTTTGCTCGACAGTAGGCGGGTAATTTTTTTATTTAACCAATCGCTATTCTTTGGTATGTAATGTATGTAATGTACCAGTAACGGGGCTAACTGGTATTTTAAGCTTTTCCCAAATCCTGTAGGAAGAAGGGCAATAACATCTTTTCCCTTGATAAAATTCACCAAACATTCTCTTTGTTCCGGCTTTACATCCTTAATCTTGGAAATCGTTGCCAACACAGAATGTATGGCTCTTCACTGATTGGTCGGTGCCCGAACTCACACTTCTGGGGTTTTTGCGAACCTTCTAGTGTATTCCAATTCCTGACCTAGTCACTGGAGGGAAATGAAATTGAGCAGAGGCACTAGGTGGCACCAGCCTGGATACATCTGTCCAGGGACTGCTGGTGAAAATTAGCCTTGTGGATAAATCTGGTTCCTTTACAGAAATGTTCATTAATGTAGGGTGAGGTTAATGTATACTGTCCCTGTCAAATAAATAAATACATAAAAAAAAAAAAAAGTAGTTTTAGACTGGTACTTTGTATTTTCTATTACATGATGGGTAAATTAACAGGTTACCACAATAACAGTGCAATAAAGTTATAATAAGGTTATAATTTGAGCTCCTTAATACTTGCATCTTGTTTATTTCAGTGTCTGTAATGATTGTTTATTGTCTGGTCATATGTTTTTTTTAATGTTTCACAGTGATGGAATGTAACAAACGCCAAAAGTAAAAGAACAGTACTTGAGTACAATTTTAGGTATCTGTACTTTACTTAAGTAAGTTTTATAGTGGATACTTTTTACTTTTACTTCACTACATTTGAGAGCAGATATCTGTCCTTTCTACTTCGCTACATTTTAGATCTGGACTGAAAGGTAAAAGTATTTTTCTTTATGATTTGAGTAACCTTTTACCTCTGTAACTGTGCTTTTACACAAGTAACAAAATTGAGTTCTTCATCCACCTCTCATATGTCATGGTGCACTTTGAGCTTTTTACACATGTTTTCCAATGTGCTTTTAACTACAAATGGCACAAATCTAAACTAACCTAACCATATCCAAAAAGCTTGAGGATCATATACAGAACTTCTAATATTTAAGAACTTAATTTCAGAACTCAAGGAAACAACATTTTCAGTCAACTCATGCTGCACAGTCCTTCACTTTGTATTTTGCTCTAATCCAATCCACTTTATTTGCAGAGCTCATTTTATAAACAGACAGTTTCCAAAGTGCTGTCTCTGTGCAGCACTGTTTGTTTCCAGCCAACAGAAAAAAAACATACCAAATATTTTCGGTATAATTATGGCATTTAAAGGTGCATTGTGTAATGTTTCTGGTGGAGGGCCCATCAAACACTTTACTCCCTGGAGATGTTATTGCTTTGTTTGGAATGTTTCACAGTATGGTATTAAACCTTTCAATATTCATGGAGACCAAGCCAGACCAAGTTACAGGTCAGATCTGTGGAGAGGCAACACCGTTCACAGTCAGAATGTCTGTTTTATAGGTATTTTTGAGCTATTAAACCACCTGTAAATGAATAAATGAATAAATGTAAGGTAGATCTGTTTAATGTCATACTGTGGAAGATTCCAGGCAGAGCAATCGTATATACAGAGAAACAAGCAAGTGACTAAAAACTTACATAGTGCACCTTTAAGCAGCATTAATCTCAGCTTGTATTTTTTATCCTCAATCTATTGCTACAACTACTGATTTTTGTTATAATATAGCATGGTCTTGGTCTAGTCAATAATAGAAATGATCAGGTTCCATATTTGGGACTTTACCTTTTGTATATTTCATGGCAAAGTACAATGTAATCATTAGGGAAATCTGTATCTTGCGGGATGTGACAATAACTGAAATAAGGTCACACAATAATATCGTGGACCGTCATAATATATCAAATTACAAATCTCCTTTAAATTGATAGTTATGGTGTAGCAATAGCTTAAAAAACAGAAGGAACTACATAGACCTTTGCTCCGTTTCAGAGCTGACTACATGAAGAAATAACTGTTATTAGCACTTTTAAAGCTTACCCCCAATTCACACCAAAGCGCAAAGGCGCGTAAGCGCAGCAGCACAGCACCCGAGCAGCAGACGCGCTGCTTTAGAACTCCATTTTAACCGGTCTGACAGTTCACACCGACAGTGTCATACGCGCGTCCAACGAGCGTCTGACGCTGACGCGCTGCTCGAGAGGTTGGACTTCCAATTATGCAGCGTCAACGGCGCGTCTCCAAGGTTTTTAGCAGGGGAAAGACAGGAAATAAACACGCGGTGTCAAAATAAACTTCCGATGCCCTTTCAAAATAATTTAACCAAAGTCAAGACAGCGACGTAAACAACGCGCACGTGATTTACGATGTCAGACACCAATTCTACAGGGACTCAGGACTAACCCAGGACTAAACCAGAACCAGGACTCACTGTCGAAATGTGCTCGGGGGTCCTTCCGTGTAGCCCCGAGTGTCCGCGGGCGAAAGGACCGGTGCAGAGCTTGGAGAAGAGGTACGTGCAGCCGTTGCGCTTTTCGGACACCTGCTCCGCGGGGCTCAGGGTTCGCTATCTCTCTCTCTCTCCAAGATTAGACCTGGTTTAGACCTGATTTAGTCCGGGTTTAGTCCTGGTTTAGACCTGAATTAGTCCTGACCCGCCCTTAAAATTCAGTCGCCAGTTTCCGCGACTATTTGCCTGTATCCATCGGTGCAGGACTCTGTATCAACATATAAACGTATCGGCCTTATTACCTGGACGGACATAAGACATAAAACCCTGAGGTGTTTAATGTGCGTGCTAATAGATTTAAACCTCGTTAAACGCAAATGCATTGCAGTTGTACACTTAATTCACAATACATTTAATACACATTCTGACTTAATACACTTTAACATAAAATAAATGATAAAAAGCAAGTACAAAATGTGATGTCTAAAAACAGTGAGAAGATGTGCAGGCTGCGTAGCAGGAGCGTCTCTGACACTCTGGTGTGAATTGAAACTTTGAAATTTACGCGTACGCGCAGCTCCGCCTACGTTAAGCGCTGCTGCAGCTCCTGGTGTGAATTCGGGATTAAGCTACGTTCAAACTGCAGGGTTTAATACTGAATTCGGACTTTTTTGTGAAATCCGATTTTTTTGGGAGGTCGTTCACTTTCCAATTTATTGCGACTTGTATGTAATCTCCAGTGTGAACTTTAAACGCCCCAAAAGTGTCCCGCATTTGCATTGGAGGACACAACGACGCCACATGCAGGGAGTGTGCTCAGTGTTTACGGAAATAGCCTACACTGGGCTTGTCTCCCAAAATACGGTTCAGTTCTTCGTAAAATAGACAGGTTACACATCCACGGCCGCTACGTTTGCTTTAGCTTCCTTGTATTTGGATTGCAGGCTCTTTTTTGTTGACTTTGGAGCCAGGACTGCCTGAAACCACGCTCGGCCATTTCTTTGGCAATTATTTCAAAAACTGCCTGGTATTAATAAAATCGCTAACCTCGCTTTCCCTCCATTGACTAGACACTGAGCCTGACATGTAGGTGGGATAAATGTGACCTGGCGGTTCAGACTGAATTCGCATGTCAAAAGATCGGATATGTATCAGGTCTGGGTTACATATGGGTGAAAAAATTGGATTTGGGTCACTTCAGGCTGCAATCTGAATTTAGCCTTAGTTCTTTGGATTAAGTTTTGTGAAGGTATTTTAAGAGGAAAAAGTAGCATATTTACAGTTTTGTTAGTTGCCACAAAAGATTGCAATAAATATCACGAGATGTATATTGTGAACGATTTGGATATTGTCCCTATCTGAGAGTATGAGATGATCACAGTCTAGAATCTAAAACCATCTATTCAGGTCTGAGTCTCACCTGGCTGCACCACGCTGATGCCCAGCAGGTTGGAGGTGCGGTTGGCCACCCTGCTCCAGCTGTTGTCGTAATTCCTCCTCCACAGCACAGCGGTGCACTGGTACTTGCCCGCCTCCCGACGCCCAGCTTTGGTCACGGACAGGCGGAAGTTTGTGTTGGAGTGGGAGCGATCTACGGTGGTCCGCGTGCCCAGTCCAAGCAGCTGTTCCCCCCACTGCAGCGTGCCCTCTCGCGTGAACGTCACCAGCTCCTTGAAGCCGTCCCCCTGGCCCTCCTCCTCCGAGTCCGTGCTGGCGGGTTTGAATCGCCACGTGACTGAGGTGGGCACGCGTGGGTTATGGCGAGGCTTCACCAAACAGATCAGATCGAAGGAGTCTCCAAAAGTGATGTAGGGAGTTCTAGAGGAGGCGGATACCACGAAAGAGGATTCTGTGTGGGAACAAAACACAATATTAGAATGGCTTGTAATATGTTTCAATGTGGTCACTGTACATTAAGAGACAACCAGATTAGTTCAAACAATACTTTGATATAGAGTTGGGCGATATAGGAATTTTAAAATATTTTTTCTCTACCATATTGATCAACCTTTCAATCTGATCCTCTTCTATCTTATTGAAAACATAGACAGCTGAACTTCAGGCATAATGAGGAGGGTGTCAGAATCACTACAGTTTTTATTTCGTGTTGATAGGACCAAAACTTCAGAAGAAATCCACATTTAAAGTTTGGAATAAATGTGTAGAATATATTAAGCCTAAAAGCATCCTGCATACATTACAGCTATCAGCAGAAACACATGTGATGTCTGTGCACTAAATGAGGTCTTAAGTTTAACTCACAAATGGGGAGAAAATAGTGGTTTACTTTTTGTAACTTGGATTCTAATGATGAGAAGCAGCAGAGGAGAGAAAGAGGTGAGGAGCTGTGGTTGATCAGAGAGAGGGAGGGGGAGTGGGGCAGACGCACACACAGACGCAGACAGAAGGAGACGCTGGACTTTTAGTTAAATTGTGCAGATTTAAGTTAAAACTTGCGTTGGAAAATGTGAGGAGACATAAAAAGATGCGCTGTGGCCATGACTAAGAGCTCTCACCTAAACAAGAGACCACTACTCTCTCCACTGAGCCACTGTTGCCCCTTACTTACTGTCTTACAAATGTGAAAAGCAGAACTAATTTTTTTTAATTTTATTTTTGCATCAGTCATGTTATTCCTTAGCCTGATTCATCAACCGGTTTCACTTTGTGGAAACCGTCTGACCTCACAGCATTAGGATTCGTTCGCTCGACTATAGGCGGGTACTTTTTTAATTTAACCAATCGCTGCTATTTGGTTTTGACCTATGTAATGCGCCACTAATGGGGCTAACTGGTATATTAAGCTTTTCCCAAATGAAGAAAGGCAATAATGTCTTTCCCCTTGGTAAAATTCACCAAATATTCTCTTTATTCCGGATTTAAATCCTCGATCTCAGGAATCGTTTTCAACACAGAATGTATGGATCTTCGCTGACTGGCTGGTGCCCGAACTCGCACTTCCTGGGTTTTTGAGAACTGTCTAGTGTATTCCGATTCCTTACATAGTCACTGAAGGGAAATTAAATTGATCGGAGGCCCTAGGTGGTGCCAACCTGGCTAGTTATTCTTCACTTTCCTGATGCAATCCTATCCTAGCATCTTAATTAATTACCGCAGTGAGTTTTGTACCTTTCACAACATTCAGAGGTCAGTCACTCTAACACTAACAAGAACAAGCATGCCAAGGGTGCACTTCCTGATTCTCAGACAATAAAGCGATTTATAATTAGGTGCAGACAACAGACAGCAATTTCATTTTGACCCCAAGAGCTTCTTATACAATACATGGCACAAATCTAGGACGGCAACGACTACAACGTGTGGAATTGTAATGTACACTTTATTAACCACTGCCACCACACTGATTAAAAAAAAAATAAAAATCCTATTGCATTATCAGATCAATATAATGGGACTATATATATATGTAGACTACACACTGACTATGAAGTGTAAAGTGTCGCTAGCTTTCAGTGTCTGACTATTTTTAATTATCATCAGTTTATACATTCCCTCGCTTTATGCACACACAAATCTTGGCACAAACCATAGCATCCATATTTACGATTTCTGTGCCCAGTGCTTTTGAGTTATCTATTGGCAGTGTATAAAGCACCCGTTTACACACTCAAGCACAAATATTGAGCTTTCCTACTTCTCCATATGACACCAACTGTGGAAAATAAATGTTTGCTATTGTGAACCCCAACTATTTACTTGTTTTTCTTGATCTGGCAAGCCAACACTTTCCTATTGACTTATGTATTGTCAAGTGCTTGGGGCAGCCCTGTACTGTACATTTCTTAGTGTAACTCCCATTGTATTGCATAATAAGTGAGCGAGCTCCAAAAGGCGGTGATGCGGACCATACTTACTCAAAGTGCACTGAGGTCATATTGACAAACTACTGGAGCAATCTGTAATCTCCATTATAGTTTTCTCTAGTGGCAGGCCTGCACCACAGCCACCTTAATCCATGATCCTCGTAGGTGTATGCATAACCCCAGTTTCTGTTGAGTTAAGATACATTCTGTGTAAAAAGTGAAACTGAAATTAATGGTAAAGCTACAAAGAGAAAGCCCAAGGGAGAGATTTCCTCTAAACTCCGATGTTCGATCTATACCCAACGGCTTGCCAAGTCTAAACTCCCCTCATTAAGCTAAAAATGTTCACCCAACTGCATACATTATTGCCAAGATACACCTACACAGTTTAAAGTTATAAACATTTAAACACTAAATATTATTTGTGCTCACCATTTATTTCTGAACAATTTAGATAATATGAATATAATTAAATGAGAAAAATCTAATATTTGTAAATACCCGGAGAGACAAATCCCACTGTAACTCAAACACATGGTTTACTTGTTAAGTGTTGTGTGTCTACAATAAAAGCATCTCGAGTCTTACATGTTTTAACTTTTTTTCTTTTAAAGGGCCCATATTACACTATTTTCTGATCTGTTATAATGTCATATCCTCATCAAAAACAGACCTGGAGTTGTGTTTTGTTTCATTCACATGTTTAACACACAAACCCTGTATGTGTAGGCTGAGTTCTTCTCTCCGACTGAAAACACTCTGTTCCAACTTGTGATGTCATGTGGTAATATAGGAAGTGCTCCACAGTGTTTTTAAAACACATACACCTTCACTAGGATCATTTAGATAATTTCACCACTGGAATTGCCAATCTGTAGTGAACTAAAGGTAAAAGGAGCTGTTAACTTGAAAAGTACCGATTCATGACATCACAAGGTGGAACAGAGCATTTTGAGATTTGGGATGTTGACAGACTAATACAAAAAATATTACTCAAACATGTGTGAATGAAACAAACCTACAACTCCAGGTATGTTTGTTTATGTTTATGTACATTATAGCGTGGCTTAAAGCTCTCAAGGGTCCACAGAAGGGTTTACAGAAGCTAAAACTAAAGCAGGTTATATTTTGTGAAAGCTTGCACTAGCTGAAATGCTATATGCCAACTCAAATCCTTGGGTGTCACTAAAATAGACTTTTCTAATCTGCTTTGTTTTTGGAAATCTCTTTTTAATTAGATAGTCTGCCATTTAACGACTCATCCGTCTTGCCCAGGTTCTTTATGAAGAGTGACTTTTTTCACACACGCTTCCTCTCTTCGACACTTTGCAGATTTCCAGGTGAAGTTCAAGTCGATTGCCCTGTCACTTTCTCTCTTCTCCCATCGGCCTCTCACTCGCCCTGACAGCTATCAGCCCTGGTGTCCTTCAGGGGAGCACAATCAATGTGGGACTATCCAGGCCAGAGCTCCGCCTTTGGCCATAATTCTCTAATAGACAATAACTCTCTCCTCTATCTCTCATCTCAGTGCTTCTTCTCATTGCTCCATCCATACTCCTCATTGCTGAAGACTGTTGGGACAATGGAGTGAAGCTTCCCAGGAATGACTTTCACTTTTGGAGAAATAACATTGTGGCAACTGATATAGCTCTGGCCAAAATATAGTGTATAAAGATGAAAGATGTGTTCCTTAAAGTGTATAACCAAAAACGAGGGCTAGGAGTAGCCCTGCCACGATAAATACTATATCAACTTATCCTTCAATGATAACTGGAACGATATATTTTGGGGCTCAATATTTATCATGTCATTGAAGACGTCTGTTGTCCCGAGTCCCTGGGTTTTAGTGGCCCAGAATTAGACCCTCTTCCTATTAATTTATGTTAGAGGTGGGCCTGATCATGTAATTTTGTTGCAATAGTGAGGAGTGTGTAAAAATATCGAAAATATCAATATATTGTATCACTTAATGTGATGATACAGTATCGATAAATGTAGGCTGCTGTATTGATATATCATCAAGAGTATTTTCTGGTGTATTTTACAAAATTATTTTAGTTACAGTGCTACAGTTGCTTGGTTAGAGGAATGAAACTCAACACATTTGACATTTTCACTGTTTTGATGAATAAAATGTTTGTGTTTCATATGAATTTTGCACAAGAAGTGGTTTAACAAAGACTTTTAATATCACAGCCAAAGACGGGGACTTGCAAGTCATGACTTGGACTCGAGTTAGACTTGAGTCACTCTTGACTTGATAAAATGGACTAAGACTTGGGACTCGACTTGGACTTGAAGGTCAGTGACTTGGGACTTGACTCGGACTTGAGGCCTTTGACTTGAGAAGACTTGATGATTCTCCTAAAAATATATATGTTTTTAGAAAATACTTTTCTCTTTACAGTTGATACTGTCACTTCTCTGTCTGTTACTTTGGATGTAACTGAAGTACTGTGATGTGGTATCCTCAAATGTACTACAGAAGAAGAACAATTTAGTTTAAAAAGTCATATAAATTGCAAAAATCTAAGCAATATTTGGTATTTTGGTTTAAAGACTTGAAATGTCTTGAAGCTCAAAGCAGACGACTTGGGTTTGACTTGGACTTGCCTGTCTTTAACTTGAGACTTGACTCGGACTTGAGGTCAAAGACTTGAGACTTACTTGAGACTTGCAAAACAATGACTAGGTCCCACCTCTGATCACAGCCATGATTTAACCATTATTTTTTTATTATACTGTCGAATAGATTTGAAATATATCGTATCAAATCGAAAGTGCACTGTATCGAGGTATGTATCATATCAGCAACATTTTAAATGATACCCAGCCCTAGTTGTTTTTTGTAATACAGTAAGATTTGAGCTGTTGAAAAGTTGAAAAAGTAACTTCCAGGACTAATTACTGGTTCATTCTGCCATTTATTTGTTACAGCTCAGGCCTTTTAATAATGCAGTATAGGTAAAAATGGTTCAGTGGAATTTTCCTGCTTTATTGTGAAAGTCTCTGCGGCTTAAAGTAG